ACCAATATTGGCAAGGTTTAGGTAAGAAAATCTCACTAACATTTAACTATTTTATTTATAATAAGTTATTTTCTTCCGGTCCGAGGTAGGTCTCGGACCTACCTCGATAAGCCTTGGCTCTGCTACTGTCACCAACAAACAACTCAGACACGTGCTATTTAGATCCGTCGGATACATCCATGGACATCTAGTCTAGGGAATTGATGGTGAGCATCTAGATGATCATCTAAGCATGCTCTCGATCGATGAGAACAACTTCATAGGTTCGGTGTTAATTTTTTTTTTTTTTGTGTTCGCCAACGAATTCACCACAAAGATAAATGACGATATACTCGTGTGCCGACCAAAGAAATTATTTTCAAAAGAACCTTAAGCACTTGGAAGGTAGCAATTTTGATAGTAAATGTAAAAAAAAATTGATCGAGATTACTTAAGAGTGTAGAATAAAGGTGAGATTCAACATAATTCTGTTAAAGAGGATCGGACTAACCCGATTTTTGGTTTTGGGTTCTTGCGCAAAACAAGAACCGAAACCCTGACCATTTCCTAAACAATTTTAACCAGGTTTGAACAAACCATTTCCAGTTCGAACCAATTTAATCTGATAAATCTGAATGATCCAACCCCCCCCCCCCCCCCAAGAAAAACCATCGTCGTTTTCATGAGGAACTTTCCAATGCTTTTATATCATTAGTGGTTTGGTTTAAAAAACAATTTTTATGGTACAATCTGAATTTTTTTTTAACGTTATGGTACGAATTAAGTTTGTACCTATAACTTGTTATAAAAATTTCCTTACGAAAACATTATTGTAAAAATTTAATTTGAATCTATATTTTTTGAACAAATACATTTATAATACAAATAAAACATTTATATATAAGTTCAACTTTATCTTGAATTACAAATATTCTAAAGTAGAATGGCCCATTTATAAGTATATAAATAAAAATGAAAGGATCTAGTTCTAAAATCCACGTGTGGACATCATTTGAATCATGTAATCCCAATATATCCTCCTACCTTTTCCATCGTCCTCCAATTTCCCTCTTAGGCCCCTTTTGTCCATTATAATTGAGGAAAAATTTCTTAAGCAGATCTTGTTCATTTGTTCATAATTATTGAACTGCCTTTAATCGGGATATAATAATGGGAAAATATTGTTCTGCTGAGCTTTTGTTAGCTAATCATTTTCAAGTTTTTTTTCTTCTTTTTGGGTTTTCAATTATTAGGAATGGTGATTGGCCAGTCAATTTTCGAACTCTAGATTGTGCTTTTAATTGTCAGTTTTATTCTTGTTTTGACGCTAGTACCATAATCAGACCCTTAAGTCTCTTTCATATGCCCTTTAGCCATATGAACTGTACTAATTGCCAATGCAACTGACTGACGGCCAGCAGTTGAAAGGTAACAAAGTTCCGTGTCCTAATTCGAATGTTTTTGTTTTTGTTTTGTTGTTCGTAGAATCCTATTTCGAATGTTTAATTGAAAAAGTCTTTCGATGGTCTATGATACAATAATTAATTGTGACAAAATCATTTATTAATCATTTGTAGAACCATTCTTACCCAATAAAATAGATGGCATATATAACACACTAATTTGGCACTCAATGTGTCACTCAAAAAATAATATAATATTCATATCATCTATTACCAAAAGTTCTAAGAGATCATTCAAACAATATCAGTTGGTAGTGGATAACGTAAATTCAACAAGGATGCGATGAAAAATAGAAGAGGAAATAGAAATAAAATTATAACTAGCATTGAACCGGTCAATTCAAAATTTAGTTTTTTTTTTCCTAAGCTTTTTTTTATTATGAACAACTGGACCAATCAAACTGAACTAGTTCATCTGGTTTCATGTCCACCCATAAAAAAATCGTACAATTCATCCTTGATCACCCGAGCAAATGGATTGTGTCGCCATCGTAAATAGTTTTACTAATCGGGCTGCTGATGCGATCCTATTCTTATAAGGGTTTTGTCCAATGCCCAAGTATCATCATGAACCAAATTATTTCACAACCGGGACAAGAAAAGAATATACAATACCACCACTAGGGATGACAATCAAACTCGCAATCGCGGGTACGCGACCGTCCCGACGCACTCAACACAGGGAATCCCCGCATTGACTGAGTATAGGGTGGATATGGGTAAAATTCGAAAAAAATTTGACAAGGAAGGGGCGGCTTTGGTTTTAGAATCTACGGACCCATACCATACCTGCTACCAAAAGTATTTCTTCATATATTAAAAATATAGGGATCATATTGTAACCTCACAATGATGAGAGGGGTAATATAAAAAATAAAGAGTTGAACTGTAATTGAGTAGTGGCCACTTAAAACAAACATTCACTCTTTCACTTCTTTCCCCTTTGTTAACAAGATTATTTTATGCATCGTTTTTTTGTTTTTTTAGCAGAAACAATACATGGATTGTTTCTGTGATGTGACAGAAACTATCACTCATTTTGAGTGATTGTTATATCTCAACTAAAAGTTGTGATTGTTGAGATTGTTGAGTTGAGATTGTTTTGTCTCAGCTTTTAGCTTATGCGACATACACAATCACACATACCAAACGTTGTATTCTACAATGCATCAAATTAGACAATACATGTATAATATTATACATGCATTCTCAACAATACATCTATTTAACAATCGCAACTTCCAAACGACCCCTTAGTTATTTATTGCTTAGTATATATGTCAGAGATTAATGATTTGGATAATATTGCATTATGGATTAGGCTAATACCACTGGGAAACTTGAACCATAAAAAAAGTGTCACTTGTGTCCCGAACTATTCAAAATGACATTTATGTCTTGTACTATTTTCCTGTTAATGTTGACCAAGTTTGACCATCAATATTTAACAGAAAATTCAGTCAGTATCGACGTGGTATCTGCTATGGAATTTTAAATTTTAATTTTAATTTATATTTTCACCAAAAATGATTGAAATAAGAAAAATAAAAAATAAAAAGTTACAAAAATCCTCAAATCGTCTTAATCGCTCCGTCGATTTCGCTCTTATGTCAATATTAAGTGGACCACCGTTTGGTTAACCGTTATCTATAATAGTTAACGAAATCATCATGACTTAAATGACACACACTATCATACGTTGGGACATAAATGGAATATTGAAAAGTTCGGGACACAAATGACACATTCTTAATAGTTTGGATTTCCCAGTGGTATTAGCCGTATTGATTATTGGATATTTTAGGATTGGATGCTTTGAATCCATATTGATAATGATTGTATCATTTATAGATTTCATGATTTTTATCAAGTCTGTTTATTGTTATAATTGAAGATCTACATGTTGAATTCTAAATATAGTAATTTTTATTTACGAGTCGGGTATTAGCCCTATTGATTATTGGATATTTTAGGATTGAATGCTTTGAATCCATATTGATAATGATTGTATCATTTATAGATTTCATGATTTATCAAGTCTGTTTATTGTTATAATTGAAGATCTACGTGTTGAATTCTAAATATAGTAATTTTTTATTTACGAGTCGGGTTTACTCATGAAAACTCAATAACCGCGAGTACTCGAATGAGATTCCAAAACCTCCCCACATGACTATGAAGTGGATATGAATTTGACTTTTAAAAAAATTGGGATGAAAATGGTCTAAGGAAATCCATCCATTGCCATCCCTTAACAACACAATTTACAAATGGCGTACCCATGGCCAGCAAAGCCAAAAACGTTGCACAAAAGGCCAAAATACAAAAAAAAAAAAAATTAATCTTGTGGTAATGAACTACATCAAGGTTCATTGCATTCAACGGAAAAAAATCTTCATATTGTGAGAAGTGTTTGTATTAGAATAGTTTGAAAGACAATTTCTATCTCTTAAACTTAAACTTAGTGTTTCTTGTCAACCTTAAGTAGGTATTGTCAATATATGGTGGAGTGCATGTTAACGTGTGAATACGTAGTACAATTACACGAGTAGAAGATGGTATAGAAGCATGTGGTGTAATACAGTCGAGAATGGAACCAAAGTTAGTATGCCAATTATGTTAGGGAGCATAATTTGTTGGAAGTTTCAAGTCAGAAAAGGCGCCATAATAATGGATGGACAAGAGAAGAATAAAACGTACATTATTAAATTGCAGAAACAGCTTCTCCTCACTAATCACCTTTTTTTAATTAATACTAATGCACATCTGGTGCACGACCAGCTGATAAAACGTGCTTCCACTTCCCACTTAAAGCAGTGGTTGCAGTTTAGCACCATTATATTAATCAGTCAAATTACTGATTGATTAAGGATGCACCAAATGTCACCAGAACGGGAGAGTTCACACCACTGCTTTTATTTTATTTAAGTCCACAAATCTACCTGCTACTTGCTAGAAAGGGTAGAAACTAAGCAAGGGACTATTGCATCTTTTGCCTGCAATTTGTGTGTTACTGTTCGTCTCCATCCATTCATACCAGTGAGTAATGAGGGCCGACCATATAGCATAAACTTTCTCATTATCATTTGATCACGATATGGCCTCTAGAAAGCACTATTCCAAGCATCCCCACAGAGGAATAATGGCTGTCAGCATCAGTTTTGTAGCTATATCATTACCTTCTTCCACCTTCACTAACTTGACAACACCTTTTTACCAACTACAGCTGGATTCTAGTTTTGTTCATTTCTGCTCCACCAATCAACCTGTTTTCCCTTCTGACAAAAACTTTAGGATTTCTACATTGGAAGTCTCTGCATCCTTTCTCCCTAGTTTTGTAGGTTACTGGCAAAAGGGCAACAGGGGGAGTCCAATGAAGCCTCCCCACCAACTCACAACAAACACCATATCTCCACCCTCAGAAAGGTGAGATCTTTCATGTTCGACATGGCCTAGAAGACGGGATCCTGACATAAGCAAAACAGTATTACTTCCTTTCCCCAGCTCTGATCCCATTCAATCTCAACAAACTTTGAAATTGAGAAATTCAACTGATGTCACGTCTAGCTTGGGCAGCATAACACCGACAGGAATAAAAGGATGGAGATATGGAAAGGATTTTGCAGCCACCAAACAGCACTAGTAAGGTTTGAGATAGTGAAGTGGTCACACATTATCTTTTCCATATGGCAAGTGTGCCTTCTCAACCGTCCAAATGTCGACTGGGTTGGTCTTTCCCATTTCTGGTAATGGTGGTAGGCTGGTAGCTACCTTCCTACTGCATATATGTGAAAGCTTGAGGATGGGGACCAAAGGGGGCAGCAAGACGTAACTGGGGGAGTTGACAGAATTAGAGGGCTAGTCACAATGAACAAACAAGCATGCAAAATTTCTAGCAGTGTCCACCTGATCTGTCATTTCCAGCCACAAACTAAATTCTTGCATGCTACTAAAAGCTAAACCGAAAGTTATCCAAGCAAACACCTTCAGCAAACGCATGCTGCCTCTTGATAAAGACAAATATGGAAAGGGACACGAGCCTTAAGAATGTGGAAGACACTTCTGTGGTGCACAAATTTGCAGACATCTGACCGCAACCTTGCATTTGTGTACATGAGTTTGCGCCTAACTTGATCGATTGCAGCCGCGACATGACAACATTCGTCCGTCGCTGTTATGATATGACAGATTCCCTTGAGATGATGAATCAACATAGTCGAGTGGCAAAGAGTTGTCAAGAAAACATAGGTCTAAGAACGCTGGAATTGTAAGAGAGATGTTCACATTCTTTCCTAGAGTTCAAATTCGAATAGAAATGATACATAAACGTTATCAGTAATTAACTGATCTCATGGAAGTTCTGGAATTGACGAGGAGTTCAATTCATACATGACAATAATGTACCTAGAATGAAATCTTCGGCTACTGTATCGATCATTATTTCCCAGCAACACTACAGGTCCTTCCCAGGATGCCACTTTATGCTGCATGATAGACCGATAATTACACATGTTTTCACCCCTATTCTGAAGCCGTTTGTGATGTGGAATCTCGTGTTTTAAGCCGATTTCACGTTAGGTTGTGTGTTTATGTCATATTTCAGGACCCGGCGTTGGAATCGAGGCGGAGAAACGAGTTCTGGGTCGAAATGAGCCGAGTTGGGACTAAGGGGGCTGCAGGAGGAAAATACCCGGTCAGGTGGCCATATACCCGACCGGGTATTAACCAATTTTGGGCGCCCGAGAAGCAGAGAGGGGCCCGGGCACAGCAGTTAAATCCCCGGTCGGGGATTTTGGTGGTAGACCGGGGATTTTCCCTGAGGACGAAACGGTGCGCTTCAATTATACCCGGTCGAGACCCAAAATACCCGACCGGGTATTTCGACCGGGTATCGCGAGGGCAGCTGATAAAAGCCGGTTTTGTGCGTTTTTGCAAAGGAGAGCTGGGTTTTGGATCCCAAACGCCCAAGGGACGAACCAAAGAAAGAGAGGGCGATTTGAGGGCATTCTTGGAGTGGAATTGGAGGATTTCTTCGCCTTGGAAGCTCGAGGAACAAGCCCGGACTTGAAGACTGATCATCTGAAGATTCTTACTGCAGTCTCTCTCTTCTCTATGGAGTAACTTCCCTTCACTTAGGTTTTGAGGAACCCTAGCTATGTCTGTTTGATTGGATGATTGTATGAGTACTTTGACTTGATAATCTTGAGTTCATATTCAATCTATGCATGTTTTCATGATTCAATTCTGCTTTAGTCGAGATTATTGATTCTGCTTTGATCCTATGAGAGCGAATACCTGATTAGGTCAATAGAGCACCATAGATTGATAGTAGTGGATCGATTGCTTTAGTCGAGGGTTGATTCACTGCTTTGTATCGATTGAGAACCTCATTCGATAGAGGGAATCTAGTTCAGAACGCCTTGATCGGTTGTTCTAGAGAAGGATACGTCCCTCTAGGCAATTGACTCAAGAGGGCCTTGTTCCTTTAGTCGAGACTCAAGGTCTAGTCAAGGATTCTCCGCATTGTGAATGAAAGTGAAACTAGTTAGAGATCATCAGTCGTTAATCTGGCTAGTGGCTAGGGGGAATCATACCTAAGTGAGTTCCCAACCTGTAATTAGATTAACTTTAACTGTAGTTTGCTAGAGTAGTTTTAGTTCTTTCAACTTAATCTGGTTTGCTAGATAATGAACCGAAGCTGAGTAATAGTAACTCTAGAGACCCGTGGATTCGATATTTATTACTTGAGCCACTATACTGCAGTCCCTTTCATTGGTTACACTTGGCCATTGTTAGGAGTTGTGTCATAGCGAGTTAAGTTTTTGGCGCCGTTGCCGGGGAATTTCTAGATTATTAGGAAAGGCAGAAGTTTGTTACTTTAGCGTTTTTCTTTTGTTTTCCACCCTTGCTTTTCACTTGGGTGTTTTTGTTTTTGTTGGTGCAGATCTGAATCATGGATCCTCATGGCTTCTCCAACCATTGGGGGTATCCACCACCATCCGAGTGGTATTACCCCGAGACACCCTGGAGCAATCAAGGGGGAGAAGACTATGGATCCGGGTTCCAGTACCAACCCCCTTTCTATGGAGAACAATCTGACCCCTGGGCATATCAAGAACAATCTCATTACCAAGAAGACTTTCTCCCACAACCAGAAGGGCCATCAGCGTTGGAGTTACCCATGGCGGCCTTCACGGGCCATTCTGCAGAGCCATGCTACACTCCACAGCCAGATCCAAACTATGAACTGAAGCTTCTCCTGGAGCAGTTTGTTCGGGACTCCGAGAGACGCAATCGCAGAATGGATCTTCACATCCAAGCCCTCCCCTCTTCCGATCCCTCATATCTCCGTGATATGGAGGAGGCTGTTCAACGCTCAGCGAAGCAAACAGAGTGGGTTGAGCAAGTTTGTGCACAACTTGCTCAAGATCACCCTTCTGCTACCATACAAGAAGAGGACGAGGAAGAAGAAGGCTACAAGGACATTGTGGAGCACACAGAAGTTGTCACGGAGAGCTCCCGTGATGATCATGATCAGGAATGTCCTGTCGTAGCCGACCACCCTTTCCCACATCCCACACTGCGCTTTGAAGAGGTGGGCATGAGTGAGGAGATGCAAGAAGATCTCATGAAAGAAATTGCCTGGCAACTTGCTCTCCAATCCGTGCTAGAAGAAGAAGAGCAAGAAAGGGTGCAGAAAGAGGTTGTGGAGGATGACGAAAGCGAAGCAGGAGTAGTTCTTGATCATTTCCCAGGGGTGATACCACATGAAGAAGAAAGGGAGGTTGAAGAAGCAATTGGCGTCCAGGCCGAGGACGGAGTTGAGGTGGAAGAGGCTTGCACCGGCCATGAGTTACATGTGATATCTCCACCAAACTTCGAGGAATTGCTCAGCAAGGACCCATTTGCAGTGTCTCTTTGCCAGACCAAGGCCACATCGACATCGGTCCCTCTTGGTGGACGCGATGGTGGTCAATCGATGCTGTCATATCTAGTTTGGGGCAATGAGACGAGAGAAGAGAAGAAGAGGTCTCGAGGGTGGAGACTTCATCCGCATCAAGTGCACGAGCTTCCATCACCTGTCATACCACATGTTCGTGACTTGAGACTCCACCTTATCGACGAGAACCTCAACTTCAAGGAGGTTCTGGGGTGGACCGAAACTTAGGAGCCATCGTCCGGCTCACGACGTGAAAGAAGCGCTTGTTGGGAGGCAACCCAACTAGTCGGTTTGCATTTTTGTCCCTATTTCTCTTCGGTTGAGTCAGTTTTGTTCTTTGATTTTAGAGTCCATAACTCGACCTTTGTGAGATTTTGTGTGGTGTTTGTGTTTCGACCACTCTCTCCTCATGGAATGCACCGTCTGCCTCGTCCACCATCATTCACCCTTGATCTGGTAACTTCGTTCTACCCTCCTTATCTTTCCTCCATTGAGGACAATGTCGTGCTTAAGTGTGGGGGGATGTTCGATTATGTATGCGGGTGAATGTTTGGCTGTTTGTGTGCTTGGAGCCTAGTCCACTGTCCAAATTTTAAATTTGAGGGCTCCAAGTACGTGTTTCCTTGCAAATTGCCTGCTCAGTATGCTTTGAATTGACAGTCTCTATAGTAATGTGCAACCTAGGGAGGTAGTGTAGCACTATGGAGGATGTTGAAGTATAAGATTTTTCCTATCTAGCTCTCTGCTGTGACAGTTGATTTTGTGAATTAGTGGAGCTAAGACCGTTGAATTCATGTGGTAATGTGGACTCTGTTTGAATTGTGTTATGGACTCGTGTATTGAACAGGGTGCTCATGTGGCAAATGAAAAGCAGTTGGTCCTCCATGTCGAAATCATCAAAAATCTTAAACATGGGGTAAGCCCAACGTGTGTGGCACCGTTCATTGCACAAAATCGGGTTTTGGAAGAGATTTTAGTGATCCTTAGTGGGGTACTCCTACAAGGTGAAGCTAAGCTGTCTCTAGTACAAGTAAAACTTCCACCCGTTGAACGGTTTGCCTACTCGAGGATGTGTTTTTAAGGGCACGGATAGAGCTTCCGACCCCCCTTAATTTCATTGACCCTCCACACGAGTTGAGGAAAAGGAGTTAAAAGAAGTACTCTGGCGAGCGCCAGATGTACAGAAATTGCTCTTGCTCGACTAATAAGGGTCGACCGTGCAAAAGACTGCAGTTGGAACCCCCGCCAAGTGAATAAAAAGGAAAAAAAAAGTAAGTAAAATGAAAGTGAAAAAGGGGTTCCAACGGTGAAATGAAGTGAAAGAGCACCCCGGTACAACGAGTCCTTGGTTGTGAATGGTGCGAGTCCCTTTATCCATGAACTGACTGTCTTACTTCTACTTTTTTTCTCATGATCCTGGCTTGAGTCTAGTACTCGCATTGAGAAAGATAGGGGACGTCTTAGAAGACCAGTTGACCTCGTAAGTTGCTAAATGATCTAGGAAGTCCTCTACCTACGATCGAGGTTGTTTGTTGCTATAGAGGTCTGGAGAGTTGCATTGGTTTGAGTTAGGTTTGCTTGGGGACAAGCAAACGGTTAAGTGTGGGGGAGTTTGATAGACCGATAATTACACATGTTTTCACCCCTATTCTGAAGCCGTTTGTGATGTGGAATCTCGTGTTTTAAGCCGATTTCACGTTAGGTTGTGTGTTTATGTCATATTTCAGGACCCGGCGTTGGAATCGAGGCGGAGAAACGAGTTCTGGGTCGAAATGAGCCGAGTTGGGACTAAGGGGGCTGCAGGAGGAAAATACCCGGTCAGGTGGCCATATACCCGACCGGGTATTAACCAATTTTGGGCGCCCGAGAAGCAGAGAGGGGCCCGGGCACAGCAGTTAAATCCCCGGTCGGGGATTTTGGTGGTAGACCGGGGATTTTCCCTGAGGACGAAACGGTGCGCTTCAATTATACCCGGTCGAGACCCAAAATACCCGACCGGGTATTTCGACCGGGTATCGCGAGGGCAGCTGATAAAAGCCGGTTTTGTGCGTTTTTGCAAAGGAGAGCTGGGTTTTGGATCCCAAACGCCCAAGGGACGAACCAAAGAAAGAGAGGGCGATTTGAGGGCATTCTTGGAGTGGAATTGGAGGATTTCTTCGCCTTGGAAGCTCGAGGAACAAGCCCGGACTTGAAGACTGATCATCTGAAGATTCTTACTGCAGTCTCTCTCTTCTCTATGGAGTAACTTCCCTTCACTTAGGTTTTGAGGAACCCTAGCTATGTCTGTTTGATTGGATGATTGTATGAGTACTTTGACTTGATAATCTTGAGTTCATATTCAATCTATGCATGTTTTCATGATTCAATTCTGCTTTAGTCGAGATTATTGATTCTGCTTTGATCCTATGAGAGCGAATACCTGATTAGGTCAATAGAGCACCATAGATTGATAGTAGTGGATCGATTGCTTTAGTCGAGGGTTGATTCACTGCTTTGTATCGATTGAGAACCTCATTCGATAGAGGGAATCTAGTTCAGAACGCCTTGATCGGTTGTTCTAGAGAAGGATACGTCCCTCTAGGCAATTGACTCAAGAGGGCCTTGTTCCTTTAGTCGAGACTCAAGGTCTAGTCAAGGATTCTCCGCATTATGAATGAAAGTGAAACTAGTTAGAGATCATCAGTCGTTAATCTGGCTAGTGGCTAGGGGGAATCATACCTAAGTGAGTTCTCAACCTGTAATTAGATTAACTTTAACTGTAGTTTGCTAGAGTAGTTTTAGTTCTTTCAACTTAATCTGGTTTGCTAGATAATGAACCGAAGCTGAGTAATAGTAACTCTAGAGACCCGTGGATTCGATATTTATTACTTGAGCCACTATACTGCAGTCCCTTTCATTGGTTACACTTGGCCATTGTTAGGAGTTGTGTCATAGCGAGTCACTGCACCCAATACTTTAGAGCCCAAGGAGAACAATGATGGTCTTAGTAGTCTAGTCAAAGCAGGTTAAATCTTCAAAGAGAGATCTAAGACGAGATAAACTCAGATGAACAGTACCTTGGTTTCTGAACAGACGGAACTGGCTGCCCACTTAGGACGCAATCTATCGCTCTGCTTAAGTCCCTAAAAGCAGGATTATGAAACAAGAGTCAAATTTTTACTTGTTTGGTTGAATAAAACAAAGATATTACCTTCCAGTTACAGGCACGTTACTGTTGGGCCTGGAATCATCAAATTGGCCATGATAAACCAGCTCAAATGGTCTCCTCCCATCCTGTTAAAAGCCAATTCAGTACAGCAAGTGTTGAGAAGGAGAGAAAATCACCTAACCAGTCACCAAACCTGAAAGCTGCCGACATGTCAACTTTTAGCAACAAAGTAAAGCATGTAACAAAGAATAAAAGGTCACCTTTTTGTACAGGAAAAACTCTGGCGTACAGACTGCTCTGAAATCCCGTGCAACCTCTTGTGACTACAGTTCAGACAATTTTTAATTAGTTAATGAGGTTGAATAATCTTTACAGACATCAGTTTACCTTTGTTGCCTGTTCTAAAATATATATCGTTAAAATTTTGAGTACTACTCCATCGAATTTTAAGAATTGATGCATTTTCAAGACTAACATTTATAATCTTTTATCATACTGTTCATATTTTTCCTGAGATCTAGATATGATCAGCATGGGAAGGGGTTTGGAGGACTTCCTTAAGAGATTTTGAAGGTAGAAATCCAGATATAGATAAAGCACAGCTGAAAGACAAAGCTGACTCTGACTCCGTTCTTGACTTAAGACAAGTAAGATTCTGGAGTTCATCACAAAATTACGTCCTAGGAAATGCACCTCGAACAAGGGTTGAACTTGCACAATATAATGGCCATACAATTTCTATTGGTAGCTACCCATACACCAATTACTGTACATCTAGCACTACTTAGGTGACCATTCCGATGATAATTTTCCAGTTCATAACAGCCTTAATTCTGGTCGTTAGTCTATGTCACGGAGAACCAAACAAAACAATTTAAAATTCAATATACATCTGTCTACCAGGATCTTTACATCTATTCACCAAACCAAGAAAAACCCACCAAGAGCTGTTTAACACCCATGGATTATACTTTCCTCACTCTTTTTGGAAAGCCAATATACAGGTAGAGAACGTCATGACAATTATTTTCCATAGGTTGCCATATAAGAATCAACATGTCCTTAGAATAGAACCCAATGTACTTCATCCCTATTTTTAACCCATAGCCTATAGTTCTTGATATCTGCTTCCAAGATATCTTAAGTTCTACTAACATAGCAATCCAAATCATGGGCCCAATCCACAGACACAGCGATGCCAATTCAATCACTCCGATAAACCATATCAAATCTCGCATTCCAATTGTATAGAAGCCTTGAAAAGATGGAAGGAACTTTTGGAGGAAGGATAGGGAAAAGAAAGGGAAAGAAAACCCAAAAAGTAAAGTTCGACTTCAAGACATCAATCACTCACATACCTCATCAAACAAATATGGAAATGGATAGTCAAACAATTTAGCATCCTCGGCCATGGATTCAGGTCCATCCTGCAAAGATGAATTCCATTTCAGTATCACAACAGGCTCTGGTTAACTCTAATCTTGAGAAAATGGGATAGTGTTAACCTGTGGGTGTGTAGCTAGAGAATTCGAAGAAATTGCAACGACAGCAAGTCCTTTCTGCACCATGATATGAGAAACTTTCATTGTACAACCACATCCCTTTCCCAATGAATAGCTGGACAATAGAGTGGGATTTGAGCTACCTTCATATAGAAATTTGAAAGTTTCACTATATCCTTCTTCAAATGCTTAACAAAGGGACAGTGGTTGCATATGAACATAACCTGCACACAATATGCTCACAAATTATTAACTATTCATACATCAAATAAGATCCAATACCACTGTCAAACCCAACCCCAATATTGGTTAGCTAGAATAGACACTGAACCTCTGACAACAGGTACAATATGTAGCACCAGATCCTAATATTTATAGTTAGAAAGCATCCATTTCCATTGTAAGTTCGATGTTTCTTGGTCTTGGGGAATCAAACATTCTGAAGAGATCTGCTGAAAAGGAAAAATAATGGAAAGAGGTTCTGTTACAAGAAATTGCTAAAGGAGATGGGCGGCTTAGAGTTTGCTCTAGTTTTATTTGTAGTTCTCCTTGTTCCTTGGTTGAGGCTTTTAACATTTTCCTAATGTATGTTAGTCTTTTGAACTACCTCTATGTAGGGAGGTTAATTCTATATATTTTGAGAGATTAAACACAGTGAGTGTTGAGTCTTTTGACTTGCTTTCTTTGAGAGGTTTCTCCAGCGACGTCAGCTCCTGCATTGGAGAGCATCCCTCGAATCCTATCTTTACGTTTGTTTTGTGGAATTTTCAAGCAGCTATCAAACAGAACCCCGTTGTTTCCTGTTTCATTTTCGCCTAATCAACCCTGGGCGCATCAAAATGCTTCTCAATTAAGATGTTTCACATGTAAATTGCCTTTGATTTTCATGTTGATCAGGCTGAGACAGCATACCAAAAAAAAAAAATTCATTTCTGCATTCCCTCAATTGTTGAGTATTTCAATTTTGGTGGTAAACCCATATCATGCTACCTGTGAGTGCCCTATTTAGTTCCTCTTTCATGTATACAGTCATATGCATGACAAACATGTTAAGGAAGCCTGAAAAGGTTAAGCTAGTCACATATGCCTCAAACTTTACCGCTTTAACACTATGCCTCAAACGTTTCACAACAACCTTTGGGTGTTGTGAAAAGTCACGTGAATGCTAAATACACTTGAGCTATGAACAGCATTCACTTATGAGGGGAACCCTTCAAATGAACCTGAGTATTCTTTCCAGGACGACCTGATGACTTTCTTCGTGTCATTAATGTTCTTTTGTAAGCCACAGCTTTTAAACAACAAACTCTGCCTAAACAAACTGCAAAGGAGGTATTGGGATCACACCACACAGGTAAGGTAATCTTCTATTGAGCTCAATAGGCCCACGCAGCTAAGCATTGGTCAACAGAATGCTCAAAAACGAAAAACAGCTTAATCCAACCAATAAGCAAAAGCAACCTTTACAGCTAACTAGTTGGAAATCGACGAAGAACTCACCAGCAAACCAGGGTATGACTCGAAATCTTCAAGTTTCCATGTTTTCCCGGTGAGAGGCTCTGGCAGCTGTATTTTCCCATGAAATCAAAACCAAAAAGAAAATGAAAATGACACAGCGCATGCTCCAATTAGCATAAGGAAACAAAAGTGGGTAAGCGAGAGAGTTCATGAATACCTCAAAGGCAGGAGCTTTGGAGCCTAAAGAAGCGCGTTTTGATTCCATTCTCGCAGCTCGCACCACGAACTTCCTGGCCGGCACAGCGAACCTCCTCCTCGAGTTCAGCTGTAAGGAGTGGAAACTCGTATCTGAATGTTTCCAACTCGACCGAAGGAATGAACTGGTAGCGGCGAATGTGTGCCTGAGAGGGTGCAAAAATGCGCTTCCGCCTGAATTGGACGCAACTACCACAGTTGGAACAACCGCAGCCATTGCCGAGTAACGGTTAATCTTATTCTTATCCCTTTTTCCCCGTTTCTTTTTCTTTTCCGTTTTCCTCTCTTGTTTCCGGATAAGGGTGAACATGTTCATTTCTATGAGATGAGGCGTCATACTGTAATAGTGTAATTTTGAGAAGGTATTGGGCTTGTGTTTTTTAGGCCCTAAAGTGCTGGCTTCGTTTTGATGAATTTGTGCTTCCCTTCGACCAAAGAACCTACATTGGTTTTTTCTTCAACCAGGAAATATTATACAGCAACACCACAATGCATTGAAAGTATAATAGCGCAAAACAACGGACACTGTTCATCCACAAACCTTTCACTGCTCATCTAGACTCAATTTTCCAGTTCACCTCCTTCTGATTGGCTGATACCACGGGTGGGCCCGTTGTTCTTAACGCCTCCTCCTTGCTTCAGGTTGAGTTTCAATAGTTGGTTGCTTTGAGATCTGGTTGGATGTCTCTGGTCACTCTCTTTTGCTTTCTTTTCAGAGCTCTTGAGATTCGGTGCTCTCTGCGTTGGTCACAAGGACGCTTTGTGGGACCGTAGCTTCTTGGGAGCTTCACCTGTGTGAGGACGAAAGTCCACTGACGGCTGCTCTGTGATGGAGACTGCCGACGCTGAGGGAAAAAGCAAAGAAAGGTGAATGGACTGGGCGATGCCCAGAAAGAAAGCAGCGAAAAAGGTGAGGGGTTTGGGCGACGCTGAGAAAGAAAGATCTGAGATCTTTTTCGTGGGTTGGTTGGTGGGTTTGAGCCCCACGTGGCTCTTTTTATGCCAAAGAATGATAGCCTGCTCTTTTTATCACTTCCACACTCTCTATCATTCTTTCACTTTTTTTTCTTCTTCTCTGTTAATCATCTGTTCCTCTCTTTCTCACCTTTGGTTTGAAATCGACAAACAAGAAGGATAGCCTGCTCTCCTTTTTCTAATTTTCCACTTTTGCAGGCTTTAGGTTGCAGTTGGAAGAACGTCGGTGATGGTGGCCACGAGAATCAGTGAGGGAGCAGAGGAGGAGCCCAGAGCAATGTGGCTTGAGGGTGGTGTTTTCCCTATTTGATGCACTCTTCGGCCAAATCTACTGGTTCTGGTATCTCCTGATCTCAATTTTCCTATTCTTTTTATTCATCTTTTGTGGATTCTTATTCTAATTTCTCTCCAATTTTCATATTCGCTTCTAGATCACTGCTAGGTTAGACATGGTACGCACCGTCGATCGTTTCCGCTAGAGACAGTCACCAGACATCAGAGATGGTAATTCTCTATGCGGTGGCTTTTTTCCTTCTCTTTACTTCCCCTTCTCTTTCTGGTAATCTGCCCTGATTATGGTTTCTGATTCATGGCTTTTGTTTGCTATTTTGGAAAGCGATTTTGTGTAATGGAATTGACAATCGGTCTGAACTTCAAAGCCGTCAAAAAGGGGAAGCGGACCAAAAACATCTTTTAATACAACCTATAAGGGTTCCCGCCTCTGAAAATATCCCCCATTCTATTGGTTCATGGATTCACCTCTTTGAAATCTTTCTGATGTCTCTCTCTTATGGCACAACTTTCTGACCATCATTTCATTTAATGGTCAGTGTGATTTAGCTTGTAAGATTCTTTCCTCTGTATTTCTCTCTTTTCACTGATAGTTGTTGCTTGCAATTATCTGTTGTCTTGGACATTTCTTTTCGCTCATGAGTTTGGAAGTTAGGTATGCTTTTAGAAAACTCGCGTTGGTCACAAGTCCATTGACTGGAACCGGTAAGACCATGAAGCAGTCTTGGGGTTGTTGAGGTATCTAATATGATAGGTAGAAGTCGGGAGGCAACGATGTTTTTCCGCATCTTTCATTGATTTGTGCATTCTGTTTTCAGGTGAGTGATCCATTTACTTTTGAAGCTTTAATTGTCAATCTCTCCTCTCTAATGTTTTTACTTATGAGTGTTGAATCTGTGTGTGGAGTTTTGCCAGCAAAATGTCAGCAACAAAAGGGAACCAGAGCTCATGGCGTGAATGTTATTGTTGGGGAAGTAGATAGTTACATTTCCTTCATCTTTTGCTTGCAATTGTATTATCTCTTTTTTTACTTTTGTTCGTGTTTATTGTCTAAATTTATCCTGTTTGTTTGTTCTATGTGTTTGACTAAACTTTGCCAAACGTTTCATAATTTATTGTACCCCGTGTAGTCATATTATAATCGACTGAAACGTTATTGTCGCATTTACTCAATGCTCTAAACTAAACATGAGCTTGCTGAAACGTAATTGTCAAGCGCATGTTAATGTTACTAGGTAAACGTGTCAAAATGAACTAATTGTTTTTGTGTAACCTAACACATATATTCATGTTTCCACAAATCCCGGCGCGGAGCGCGGGCAAGAAAGTCTAGTTACAATAAATCATCAAAACAATGCATTAGAATGTCATTCATCCCAAAGAATTATAAATTAATAACAAAAATGCTCATTTTTGGTAAATAATTCGGTTGATCAAAAAGTGAACACTAATAGGGAAACTATTTCTTATTTTAAAGATGTGATCTCAACAAAGCTAATGTATTTGGTCGATTTAAGTGATACTAACTAGTTTGTTGAGATATGTGTAAAAAAGAAATTAACCCAATTGAAAGTGTGTATTTTATAGGAATAATCATTGGTTGATTCGGTTATCAATTCGCGATAGGGCTAAACCAAAAATAAAGAAAAATAAGGATTTTAAGCATATTAAAATCATATTTGATTCGTTTGGTCCAATTCAATACGGTTCATAAATATACTTAAATAGTATATAGAAATGATACATTCTCAATAATTATTTATGTATTCAAATTTGCTTCAAATTCGGAAATTTCACTGAACACCAAAACAGTGTGGAACTGAATCATTCTCCAACCTTCTTATTCAGCTAGAACTATATAATTTATACAGTTAGGTAGTTTTTAAGGAAAAGAAACAAAAAGATAATCATATTCATTGACCTAAACCCATAATCAAATAGTGACGCAAACGAATGGCATCAAATCCTAATGGTGGCGACGTGTTAATTCTGCCTGCTGGACGAATTCCTATCTAGCAAAACCAAGAAGAAAAAAACCCAACTATGTATTCCAATTTGAAGACTGTTGGGATCCAAGTGTTAACCTTTATTATTTTAGGGATCATTTTCTAATTAAGTCTTATCCACGTTGATTTGGTTATTGGGGAGACTATTTATTGTTTCCTTCAGCCACATGTAAACCCTAAGTAATGGAGAACTCGAATATAGTGATTTTTCAGTCAAGAGTTAATTGCTCTCCGTGGAGTAATCTCGTTCATTTTGAACGAGGAAAACACGTAAATCTTGGTGTCGTGTGTGTTTCATTTTATTTCGTTTTCATCTTATTTGACATGATATCAGAGTTGGTTTGTCCTTAAGGTCACGTGTTAAAGTCCTCACGATCCCCAATATTAATCGTTGTCTTCAAGCACATGGTATGGCAGGCCTGTGCAAACTTCAAGCCCATGAGTTGGCTTTCGTTTGACAGGGTGTGTAAGGAAGTGGTTAAGTACCATACATGGGCCTCTCCCAACAACTTGAGTTATTGGGACTAACGGGTTTATGACCTGGTATCAGAGCCAAGAACAAGATATGTTTTGTAGATGGTACTCATTCGGGCGTTGCGAACCCAGCTGAGAGAGACGCCTTGCGGCGTTGTAACGCCATGGTTAAAGGTTGGTTAAAAACGGCCATGTCAAAGGAGGTACATATTAGTGTGCGTTTTGCGAATACTGCTCGTGAAATTTGGGTGGACTTGCAGTCTCGTTTTGGTCGGGTTAGCTCATCTCGGCTTTATAAGCTCAAGAGAAATATTAACAGTCTGGAGCAAGAGAAGATGTCTTTGTCAACCTTCTATACTCGTCTGCGGGGATACTAGGATGAGGTTCAAGCGATAATGCCCTCGCTCGATTGTACTTATGCGGGCTGTAGTTGTGAAGTCAAGCATCGTCAGTGTGAGGTGCGTGAAGGGGAGCGCCTCTTCGAATTTCCGATGGGCTTGGATGATACTTTTAGTACTGTGAAGTCACAAATCCTCGCCATGAAGCCGGTGCCATCCCTTGCTGAAGCCTACCAGCTCATCATTAACGACGAGTAGCAGCGACACATATCGCAAAGCCGGAGGCCACATTCTGAGACGGACGCTCTTCAGGCTCAGGGGGAGTGTCGTTGGGAATGCTCGGTGTCGCATGGTGTTCGCGATAGAGATCGTGACAGGGAAGGAGATAGAGACTCGGAGAACAAAATTTGGTGTACGCATTGCCAGCGTGCAGGGCATCTCAAGGAGACATGTTACCACCTCATTGGTTTTACCTCGAAGAATGTTGAGAAGGGAGATCAGCAGAGGCGACGCAATGAGAAAGGGAGTCGTCCATCAGGTGCGAAAGTGGACACGGCAACTAGTCCTCTCCCTAGTCTCACCACATCCCAGTTTGTAACTCAAGGAGTTGCTTCTCAGCGATCTGCGCCAGTATTCCCAGTCCGCACTAGAGCCTTCTTCAAATATGGTGGGTACGTTTACTAGTAATTCTTCTTCTTGGGTGATTGACTCAGGCTGCACTGAACATATTGTTAATAATAATTCATTGTTGGATGTTGAGTTGGACTCGTTGCTGACTCTACATGTCAAAATTCCTAATGGCACGGGAGTTAAAGTTAGTTGTATTGGGACGAGTTAGTTATCTAATGAGTTGCACTTGTATAGTGTTCTTCATATCCCTGAATCAGTGCAATCTACTATCTGTCAGTAGACTTACAACAGATCTTCTCGTAGCATTAATCTTGCTAAGTGACTTGTATTCAAGACTTACCATCCAAGAGGCTGATTGGGATGGGTAAGCATGTTGACGGGCTCTATTGCCTCAAGCTGTTCGACGAGGCACATCCCATTGCACATTTTGTCCGACAGTCTTTGAATACTACAGAGTTGTGGCATGCTAGGCTGGGTCATCCATTGTTGGCAAAGCTCGGTGTTTTGGAGAAGTTACTTGATTGTCCTTTAGTTCAATCAAAAGACCCTTGTCACTCTTGTTTGCGAGCTAAACAGACTCAAAGTCCTTTTGAGTCTAGTACTATTAAGACCAAGTCTGTTTTTGAACTTATTCATATTGATATCTGGGGGAGTTATAAGACAACCTCCACTTCTGGTGCACATTATTTCTTGACAGTGGTTGATGATTATAGTCGTGCAGTATGGATTTTTCTAATGTGTCAAAAATCGGATGTTGGCGGCTATTTGATGTATTTCTTTAACCATAGTAGTTAAAATCGGGATTTTACGTAAAATAAAAAATGGGGGTAGAATCGGAATCGTAAAATCGATTTGTAAAATTGTAGGATTTGATGTATTTCTGTAACACATAACACTTATAATGATAATTTCACAAGGTTAATGTTTCAATTTATCAAAGTTGATATTGAGAAGTGGTGAATTGATGATGATTAATACATTGA